CCCCTACGTGCTTGGGGGGCAGTGGTGTGGGCTGCGATCGCTCTGTGTCCAGCTCGGTGAGGATCGCCGCGTGGTCGCTCCCCGTATAGACATCGCTCAGGGCCCAGGTACACTGGCTAGCCCTGGAGCAGCTCACAAACGTGAGGTCGACCACCGAGCTCGCCCCGGCTCTGCTGAAGGTGGGCTGTGCCCCGGTGTTGAGGAGTGCGACGTCGAGTGTTGAAAACGCCTCGAGGAGGGTCCTGCCTCTGGCGTTGGTGAGGCAGCTGCCCCAGTCCACCGCCCAGGCGTTGAAGTCTCCGGCTATAAGGCACGGAGTGTGACACCTTGCGTCTGTGGCCAGCCGATCCACGGCGTCCCCAAACTCCTCCAGAGACATGCTCGGAGCCAGATAGACGCTGAACATCCACCAGCCTGCCACCCTGGCACGCACGAAGCCTCTCTCCGAGCGAACGTCCGCCATTCTCTTGGGTGTAATGCCGCATGACCACAGAGCAGCTTTGCCAGAGCTGTCCACCGCCCAGTATGGTCCAGGGCCTACCCTATATGGCTCGCTCATAGCGGCAATATCGGCACCGCGTTCTCGGACCGATTGCGACAGCAAGTCCTGTGCTGCCGCACAGTGGTTCAGATTCAGTTGAACCACTATCATGCCCTTTTCGTTCTGGCTGCACTACGCGACGTCACCAGGGGGCAGTGGCGGCTGCCCGCCTGGTGTTTCGTGTCGCTACCCTTTGCCTCGGCGCATCTAAAGCAGCGCGGACTGTTGTTGCAGGCGGCTATTTTATGGCCCTCCTGCCCACACCTGAAGCAGGAGCTGCTCCTGTCGTAGGAGCTGGTGCATCTGGCCGCTATATGCCCTGGCTCCATGCAGCGGAAGCATCTGGGGCGGGATTCCACCATCTTGATGCGGCACCTCGTCCAACCGACTTTCACCTTCCCGAGACTATTTATGGAACCAGCCATTGTCTCTGCGACCGAGAAAGTTGCCACCTGGCCTCCACTAGCGAGGGAGCGGATGCTCTTAAGTGAAACGGAGCCAGGTGGAAGATTAGCCTGTGAGGCGAGCTCTGCCGCAAGCTCCTCCCTGGTTACCAGCTCGTCCAGGTCCCGGATTAGGAATGTGGTCTGCGGTGACACAGTGCGGATCGGCAAGCTTCCGCCTATCACACACCCAATCTGCTCCTTCAGAGCGGTAAGGGAAGCTCCAGAGGACTTTTTCAGCTCGATTAAGAGCTCGCCCTTCGCCGTTTTTCGTACTCTGGTCACCTTGTCGCCGACTCCTGCCATTCTGGAGTCATGGGTGCGCGTGACCATGTTGAGGACCTCGCTATAGGACATCTCTGCCGCGGGGGTTATGATGATCGCATCATTTCTGCCCCGCTTTCGGCCCTCTCGGCGCTTGGTCGCGGCCCTTGTCTTCGGGCCGGAATCGCAGTCGCCCAGCTTCTGCGCTCTTTCGGCGTTTTGGGTGGGAACCCTGGGTGGGGGGCGCGTGTTTGTGCGACCGGTGGGGGCCACACCGGGGTTACGGCTGGCGGGACGGGGACGACCTTTTGGAGAAGTCTGAGCAGCTTTCTCCGCCGTGGGCTGGGCCCGGGTCATCGGTGGCGCGGTCTGGCTCCACTGGTCAGCAACTCCGATGGCAACGCCATCATCCCTATCCTTCCCCTCTAGCAGCGAAATCTCCTCCTGGAGCTCCTTTAGTCGCGCAAAGGCATTCTTCATGGCCTGGTTTATGCTTCGGACTTTCTGCTCGTTAACCTTGGCTAACAAGTCATCCAGGATCTGGCCCTTCTCTTTAATCTGCGGATTGGGCGCCTTGATCTTCTTCCGTGGGTGGGCCGTCACAGGGGGGCTAGGGGAGTCTCTTACTCTCTTGGTGTGTGGGGTCGACGAACTCGTCTCCCGACCGATTGGCTCCAGGGCTATCTCAGAGTCTTGGCCAGACGCCGTAGGGCCTCCGCTAGGTGGGGTTCGCTGCAGCTTGGACCGCCTTTGAAAGGCTCCCAAGTCGTTTCCATCTTCACTTGTCGCTGTTGAAAGAGCACCGGCCAAGTGGGCCGCCGGAGCTGCAGTGTGGGTTGGAATGTGGATTAGGGCCTCCAGAATCCGTGCCCTTGCCGCGGGATCAACCGCGGGTGGATTTCCACATTTGTGGCTGCCACCTGGAGTATGTTTTATTCGTTGATGTACGGCCGAATATAGGGACGTATGTGTGTATGTACGGAGAAATGTACAACGGGCCGAAGAAGTGGAGTAAAAAGCGGCGATAATTATGCCGTTGCAGAACGAAGTGCAGGCAAATGGAAGTGGAGAAAATTGGCTTTGGAAATGATTTTTAAGTTGTCTAATTGCCGTGGTGTCGGAAAACTCGGACGAGGAGTTGACAAAAAATCGTCCGCAGGTTGAGCGAAATTTAAATTTCGGACAACTGTTGACGACCGGCAATTAGAGACGGGCGGAAACTTTTTACTTATCTTTTCTGCGGCGGCACCACCAAAGCTGCTGGGAAAAAAGGATTCCAGGACGATATCCTTATCCGGCTCGAAGGACCATGTTCAGGAGTGGGGTGGCTGGTAAATCCTCCGCAAAAGGATCAATAAAAGTTTCTCCCACGAAGTAGAAAAACGCAGAAAATTCGGGGGTCGAAAAATGACGTCGGCGGAGTGCCCGTAGCATACATATATTGTCGCAGTCGATTCGGTACTGAACTTAGCTTAGCCTAAGGGCCCGCTGCCGGCCGAGAAGCCCAGCTTAACGGCGCGAGAGCGGGAGAACCGTGAACTAGAGCGGCGTAGCCGTCCCTAGAAGCGAGCGACGATCGGGAACACGGAGCGTGCGATCGGTAATACCGAGGAGCGGAGAGCGGGCGAGTTTTGCTAAGCTGGGAACGCTTAAGCTTTTGGACGCTCGGTGGCCAGAGGGGGAGCAGGGGCCTCCTGGCGTAAACAATAATGATTATGATTACAATTTATCTATGTACATATGTATATACATATTCCATCATATAAATCAGTTTTGCTGAAACACTAAGCTCTCCAACTAAATTAGATAAAAACACACATATGTACATACATACACTGCGCGTCACCAGATTAGCGCCCCCCTTGGTGCTCGCGTTTGAAGTAAAATATTATCAAAACTATTAAAGATTGAACTGTACAATTATTATCCAATATAATTCGATTAATTCTCTAAATAAAAACATATATTAGAACGCAGTTGGTATTTGCATAGAATTGTATTAAATTAAAAACTAAAGAAACACGTTTATTTGGAAGAAAAAACTGCGTCATCAGATTAGCGCCCCCAAAATATAAATTTAAACATCTTTCTTAACTTGCTGAGCACAGCAACTATTTTTTTTTTGCTGTTAAATTAAACATTTTTCTTCAATTTGACATACAATATGGGCAGAGGAACAATCTTATCTTCGGAGGAAAAATCGAAAATCGAAGCGTTTAATGAATGTGGACTTTCTCTTCACAAAATCGTCGAAAAAACGAGAAGACATCGCAAAACCATTGCAAATTTTCTTCAAAATAAGAAAAGCTATGGAAAAAATTACAAAGGAGGTAATAACAGTGTTATTAGTTCCGCAGATCGCAGTGCTATACTTCGAGAGGCGTGTAACTCCCACGACTCTACCGCCAAAATAATAGAAAAAACTTGTGTTAAGACAATAAAATCGACTTTTTTAAAGGTGATCAAGAAAGCTGACCCTTTGAAGAAGCTAAAACTAAAAAAAAACCACCCCTTAACCAAGTGCGAACAGAAATCCGCCTAAAGTTTGCTCACACGCATATGACATGATCCAATGAGAGGCATAACGTCGTATTTTCAGACGAAAAAAATGTAACCTAGGGGGTCCTGACGGATATAATTATTATTTCCACTATTTACGCAAGGAAGAGCATCATCTGGATCGCTTACATAGTCGGGTTGGAGGAGTAATGGTATGGGGAGCCATATCCTTTTATGGCAACTGCGAACTGCAGTTTTTAACCCCAAAGATGAACGCGGAAAATTACAATTGCGTTCTAAAAACAGCATTTCCCGTTTTTAAAAACTTATTTCGAAATCTGAAATAGCATTTTCAGCACGACTAAGCCCCAATCCACAGATCCCGGTCCGTAAAACTATGGAATCAAAAGGAAAATGTCAGTGTCCTGGAGTGGCCTCCATACTCCCCAGACATGAACATAATAGAAAACGTCTGAGGATGGTTAGCTAGGAAGGTGTACGAGGGTGGCAAGCAATATGCTACCAAGGAGGATTTAATTCACAGTATAAAACAGGCCTGGTCAACAATAACGTTGGAATATTTCAAAAACTTGTATGACTCTCTCCCCAATCGAGTTTGTGAAGTCCTTGTAAACAAGGGAGGGGCAACCCATTATTAAATTTCCTTAAAAATGATTAAACTTAATCATAAAATTGTTAAAGATAGTATTTTGTAAGAACTTTATCAAAAAAAGTTAAGTTAATGTAGGTGGCGCTAATCTGATGACGCAGTTTTTTCTTCCAAATAAACGTGTTTCTTTAGTTTTTAGTTTAATACAATTCTATGCAAATACCAACTGCCTTCTAATATATGTTTTTATTTAGAGAATTAATCGAATTATATTGGATAATAATTGTACAGTTCAATCTTTAATAGTTTTGATAATATTTTACTTCAAACGCGAGCACCAAGGGGGGCGCTAATCTGGTGACGCGCAGTGTATATATACTTATGTTGCAATATTTTCCTAGAGAATTATTATTATAGTGTTGACCAACCAAACTAATCAACCAATTGCCGAATGATTCTTCATAATTCCCCTCCTCGGGTTTCTAGCCAGAGACAAAAATGGTACACAATTTCTAAAAATTTCTATACTTCAAAGTATTAATATAAATTAAGGGATTTCTTTATAACAATTATATATTTGTATACAAATGGATTTGCTTATGAAAATTATGAACAGTTGCTACTTTACAAGTAAATGTAAAAATTATGTTAGGACTTATTTATTTCGGAATATTGGTAATGATCGCCACTTTTTTGCAAGTACATGAATATATTACAAAATTTTGACCTTGCTTTTTTGAAAAAGCTTCGAAACATAGAAAACAATACATTTTATTTGTTGCTTTGAACATTTAACTGAAATTAATAATACAGAATGCAAGAGCACTCAAGGTAAAGGAAACAATAACAAAACACGTGAAACGAATGCATTCTAATTAGACGGCGACATCCATGGTGTCTTTGATCTCATTGCCCCACTCGCGGGCCATAATCATGATTTCGGTCATCGACAACTTGGGTCCGATCAGCGGGTTGAGCTGCGTCATGTAACAGCACAGCCAGCTTTAACGAAAAACGTCATTGATAAGTGAGGTCATGTGGGAGAGTGCGTACTGGACTGCAGGTAATACTTACAAAAGCCAGCAGGTTGATGCGGTGAGCATAAGGCAGCATTGAGTCACCCTGGAAACAGTTTAATTCCTTAGTGTCAGTTTCTAAGTTAAACAATAAACTTACCCCTTGTTGGGGCCTCGGGCGAAAAAGGGGCAAATAATGCCAATGAACGCCCAAATACAGGTGATAACAATCGGAGGGACCCACTCGGAAACCATATTGCGGGCTCAAGGATCGGCACGAAGTGGTTTAAGGAAAAATAAAAAAATAAGGAGAACACTGCGATCACGAATCTTTTCTCGAGTAAAAAATATCACATGACAGGGCGACAGGTGAAATGAGTGATGCCACTTTGTCTGAGCGAAAGCTAGATACAAACAGCTAAAAAAAGCCAAATCCAAGGGAAAGAGCTAGGAAAAAGCTGATTTTTAGGAAATATCGTTTTTTTTTTAAATTTAGGTATAAAATATTAAATATTTGCGTATATTATGCATATTTGTTGTTTTTTATTTTATATATGTTGCAGATTTTATGCATATGCAAATGTAAATTCCGAAGCCATAGCGATAAGCTAATAAGTGCTGAAAGCTAAAATGACATCACTGCCCCTAAATTCAATATTCGAACCACAGCTGCTAGTTGATACTGGAACCACATCTGATGCCACAACCTCTGGTCCCTTACATGAGAGTAACAGAGTTTTGCCTATGGAATTTCCGGACTAACAGAGGTTTTGCAGGGCCCCAACACTCTGTTATCCTGCTAACGGACTGTAAAATGTAAAATGTAATTATGTTTAGCGCTATACATGATAGGTGGCGTATTGTAAATTATAACGTCCAAATAAAAAACGCAAAAAAAATAGATTAATAAACAAGGCAAAATTTGCTTAGGCTTATTTATTAAGGAATTTGTGAATAGAATTATATTATATTCAAGTTAATTACAATAAAAGGCTTTAAACCCAATTTGGTATTTTAATCTGGGGACGCCCAAAATGGTAAGTCTAACGAACTAGCAACATGTTGCGTGTTGCAAAAGAAAATAGAAGAAAAAGGAAAAGCGAAAAGCAAAATGGCGAAAAAGCGTTGAAAAACCAAGCGTTGGTGTGTGAAGTAGTGTGAAAAGAAAAAAGCGACTTAAAACTAGAATAAATTGAATAAAAAACCAAGTTAAATTAAATTAAATTAAGTTAAATTAAAATAAAATATATATAAAACAAACCAAAAAAAAAAACCAAATAATTATTAAGTTAAATTTATAGTTTTAAGTACATTTAAAAATGAGCACCAACAAGAAGTGAGTACGAAATTTGATTTTTGTGTCCGTGTGAATGTGTGGGCGTGTATGTGTGTGATATGTGCGTGAGAATCCTATGGCGTCCCCAGGAGCGCTATTTTTCTAATTTTTGATGCGGATGAGGTAGAGATCAACGATTTAAACATGTTTCTGGGGCCAGCATCAATTGCATCAATATTAGATGTTTAGTTTAAAAAACTACGTATATGTGATATGTATGTATGTTCGTTTAGTCTCAAGCGACACTTTCCCGATAATGTTGGATGGGGGGAGGGGTTAAATTATGGTTTTTGGTGGCGGAGAACGAATGTGCGATGAAGCCGTCCTCAGAGCACCAGGAACCGGGATAAGCCGACGATTAGCGCCGCTTTCAACTGGTTACAAATAAACGGTACTTGGGCTTTAGCTCGAAAACAATTAAAATTTACAAATTAATTAACAACGAATGTGGATCCTTCTAGTCCAAGTCTTCGGAGAACGCGTTAAAAAAAAAACACAGTTATTAAGTTTAAGGTCTAAGGTCTTGGGCCAATTAAATGTTTGGAACCAAAAGCACAAGAGTTGCGTGTTTTTCTTGTTTTTTCGGACATGTCATTGAAACCAGAGTCCTGGATGTTCAACATTAAGCTATCCGCCTACAGGTAGACCTTGTGCTGGCAATCTGTGGGATTTTAGTTAGAAGAAAGCCTTAGCTTACCGTTCGGGCAATGTATTACGTAGCTTGAGGCAGGCTGGGTTCTGCTTGAGGGTCAGCCTAACCTTTTTGTAGCCTCAGCTTTTCCCTCGGCGTGGACAATATTCTGCTGCTTCTCCTGCTTGGCTCGCTCCACAAAGAACATAGCACTTTGTGCCTCCTGCTGGGCCACAGGCTTGGCCTCAATGGCGGCCGTGTATTCCTTGCCAAAGCTCAGCGTGGTGAGGGACACATCATCCAAAATAATATTAAAGTCGTGGGCGCGCTCCACCAGCTCTTTGCGGATCAGCAGAAGACCTATTCGATACATAGAAATTAATATTTAATAATGTTTTAAGTGTTAAATTAGGTTAAACCCACCTGTTGGCGCTGGTTAATAATCTGTGAGGCATTGCAAATGGAGGGCAGCACCTTCTCATAATAGTCCACACCCAGCTGCTTGTGCAGGGAAAGTTCAAGAAATATTGATCATTTGCAGATCTTTCGAGCCGGTGGGCTAGGGAATCTTGCGGGGAGGCGAGCGAATGTAATGGGATACTGGAACCAGGGAATGTGCACATAGAGGCTTTCGGAGTAAATGTCGTTCTGGATGCCGCCCAGGCGGCTAAAGATGATAGCTCGATGACCGCCATCAACTGGAAAAAGATAGAAAGGGGTTTAAATTTATAATAATAAAAACGCATTTATTAATTTTAGATTATAATTTTATAAGGCAAGGGTTATTTTTGGTTTCTTGTTGATTTTAATATAAAATATTATTGGTTTTAAGCACATGAAAACATTGCTTTATAATGTTAGAAAAACCTTTTGGCACGAGTTTATCATTAATAAATTTTATAATCTCAAAGAGTATTAAGTATTTTTGAACTCGGATCCACCTTAACAAAGAGATTCATCTGACATAAATGGAGTTTGATGTTATGCAACCAACAAAATCCAAAGAATTTATAGCAAATTCCTGAATAAAATAAAGTTTCCCCAAGAAAGTTTAAGTGAATTAATACTCTTCTGCAGTACCTGTACCTTCTTAATCTTTTAAAACATTGTGTAAATTCAATTATTAGTTATGAAATCCGACAAAATACACACCATGTTTATTAGCTTTTCTCCTAGAAATTAGTTGATATAGAGAACTCGGCCATATCCTTACCTGTGTAGGCAACAGCTCCAACGGCGGCCAGGACCTTCAGTCCAAGTCCCATCCCGGCGGTCCACCTTAGCCCAGCTTGACAGCGAGAGCGTTCAGCTTGCTCTCCACCATTTTGTTTGTGTTTTGTTTAAAATTGGAAAACAGCACGTTCTAACTAGAGCACTAATAAATAATAATTAATTATAAAGCATGAGTTAATAAAATAAAATATTGCTATAATATAATAAATGATAAAATATTGATACAATTCTTACTATTAACCCCAATTGACTTAAAGTTAATAAAGCAATCGATCTAGTCGATGTAGCCATGTCCGTCTGTCCACCTGTCCGTTTCTATGCAAACTAGTCGCTCAGTTTCAAAGCTATCTGATCAAAGCTAGATAGAAAATAGAAATAATAGAAAAAAATTATAACTTCGTTGTTTTTCAACGTATTTTCATCTACTTTGAGATATGCGCCTTTTTTATCATTTCAGAATTTCGATTTTAATTTTATGTAAATCGGAAGACTATATAATATAGCTGTCATAGTAACATCGTTAGATGTACAGAAAAATGTAAAGCTGCGAGTGTAGTTCTGTAACTCTCAAACTGTAAATATAATAAGTATAGGAAAAATGTAATACAATTTTTTTGTGTGTTTTTCAGCATTTAAATTTATAATCATTATATTATATATTTAAATCTAAAATATATATATTTTTATAAGAATAAACTGTTTTTTCAAAACCAAATTATTACATATATGCTATGTATAAATATACAACTTTTATATATTTCCTTTTATTTGTTTCTATTAATTTGACCAGAATGGATCGATGATCCAATAGCAATTTGTTTTTTTTTTTTTTTGGGGGCGCCTATTTCGAATCGGTCCTTACTTTTTTTTTTAATTTGTTAAAAATACATTTTAGTGGGCGGATATATGATTATAAAAATATATTTATTTTTCTTAGGTGTGTCGTAAACCAATGTCCGGGAAACGGAAAAACTTATTGTTTTCCACCTTCTGCAAAGGCAGCTTGGATGGAAAACTTAAATTTAAGTGTTATCCGGACTCGTACCAAGGTTTGCGAAATGCATTTCCGGCCTGAGTGCTTTCTTCATGGAAGACTCAGGCGTGGCAGTATGCCTACTGAAAATTTGGGTAAGTTAAAAATTTTGGAAAAAAAATAAAAAATTACATTAATATGTTTTTCTCTTTTTTTCAGGTTATAAGCCTCCTAATTTGCCAATATTTTCAAATTGGCAAATTGTTGGTAAGACCCATGAGTCTAGGGCTAATGTAAATATTACTAATGACGATTTACGTGACATAGGCCTAAAGTATAGGCTCCCTGATCCATTGGACGACCATAACGGTCCCAATGGAACAGGGAACCGGGAACAGGGAACAATCGAACAGCACATTGGTGATAAACTCGACGGACCCTCTCATAGTGACAAGTGCCCTCTGCCTTCCAATGAAGATATGAGATTCCAACCATCAATGCAAATTGATGACGAATTGGATGGACCTTCACATAGTGAGATGGGCCTTCTGTCCTCCGAGGAGGCAGGAAGTATCGTAACTCCAATAGAGAAAAATCACATTGGAGATAAACTCGACGGACCCTCTCACAGTGAGAAGTGCCCTCTGTCTTCCAATGAAGATATGAGATTGCAACCATCAATGCAAATTGATGACGATTTGGATGGACCTTCACATGAGATGGGCCTCCTGTCCTTCAATGAGGCAGGAAGTATCGAATCACACAATGACTTGAATGTTCGTCTTTGTAGCCCACTGCCCTCTATGCAAATTAAAAATGGTCAGAATAATAAAATAAAAAATATAAGAAAAAGTACAAACAAAATATTATTGCAAAAAGTAAAATCATTGAGAGCAAAAATGTATTCTGTGAAATTAGAAAATTCGTCATTAAAGAAAAAAATAAGAAATTTAGAAATTCAAATATCTAAAATTTCACTCGACCAAGAGAAAGAAAACGACGAAATTCAAGAGAATGACAATGAGATCTTGAATAATAGTCATTCCAAAGCTTTCATAAAAATGATTTCTAGGCCTCAATCGGAACCTCTCAGTGTAGATGAACAAATGCTGGCCACTAATATTTTCATGACTAGCCCGAGGTCGTATAGAAATTTAAGAAATAATTTAGGCTTCAATTTGCCTTGTGAGTCAACAATTAAAAATTGGTTG